AATTTTAATCAAATTTTATATAGTAAAATTTAAGAAATAATAATTAAAAAAAGTTATTATTAGTAAAAATTTTTTTTTATAAATGATATATAATAAAAATTTTATATTTAAATAAATCTCAATATCTAATAACTTAATTAAATAAAACAGAATTAAAATTTTATTTTGAAAAAATAATTTATCCAATATATCAAAATTTTCACAATGGCATATTGATGAATTTTATCTTCAATTACTAGCCAAAATCAAATTTTTTATGATATTTGACAAATATTTAAAATAATATATCTCTCAATTTACATAAAATATATATTATTTTAATATAAAATATTATTATATATATGATCATATATATAAGATAGACTCACCTATTTTTGTGAATCTTTTTTAGTATAAACAGTATGTAACCAAAAAAACTTAACTATATTAAATTTATCATAAATTCACAAATATTATATTAAATTTAGTAATCAGTATATTATTTAAAAGCAAAAAAGTTACAGAATAAACTTTATTAGGCTTAAAAAATTGATTCATTCATCTTTGCTTTTAATAACTAGCTCACAATGATATCTTATCAAATTTATTAAATTATTTAGAATGATTTTTAGAATAAAATCATATTTTTCTATTAAAAACTTCTCTAAAATATTCAAATTTTTAGATATTTATTACTCTTAATAATGATTCATAAATTTTTTATAGAGTTAAGATTAGTTTTGATAATTTAGATATAGAACAATACCTTCATTCTAATAATATAATAAATTATATATCTTTATTTATAAGTAATTGATAATATTTTGATAATAACTTTGAAAGAGTTTGTTTAATAAGTATAGTAAATAAATCTATTATTAATTTTAATTTAATAAAAAATAATATAGATTAAGCTAAAATTAGAGATATTTATTTATTATCTAATATATTAACAAATAGTTAAGTTTTTTTATTACAAACTATATATAAAATTTTTAAGATTAAACTATAATAAATAATATATTTAATTATATAAATTATTTATTTATTATATATAAAAAATTAAAATAATAAAAAATTAAAATCTATTACTTAATCTTAACTTTAACTCTAATTTATTCTATTTTTATCTATCTATAATCTTTTTGTAATATATTTAATTAAATTTATACTTATTTATTTTTTAGATTTATTTCTTATTTTTTATTTAATTCATAATATGATTAATAAAACTAATTTTATATTAATTCTTTTTGTATTATATATTACTTAAACTAGATTTTTATAACAAAATTTTTAGATTTTATATAAAAATAAATTATTAAATTTAAATTATTAAAAATATATTAATATATCTAATTTCTATTCTAAAATTTTTTAATTAATAGTCTAAACTAAAATTTTATAGTAAAATCTTGAGATATTTCTTTTAATTTCTTAATCAAAATTTATTATTATAAATTTAAAAATATTATTAAAAATAAAAGTAATAAGAATGAATATATTTTACTAATAATTATTTAAAAAATATGAAATTTTATAGATAATTTTTTTGAATATTCTGAACAAGAATTATTATAGTACAAGATATATTAGCTTAATAAAATATTACAAAATTCTATATCAAATATAATAAATTATAATACTTATTATAAGTAATAAAAATCAAGTTTTTTTTATAGAAAAAATTCAAATAAAATAAAATTTTTATTATAAAAGAGATAAAGTTATTTAGTATAATATAAGTAATTTTTATAATAGAATTTTTTATAAATTTGATTTAAAAGCAAAAAAATTTTCTAAAAAAAATAATAGTTTTTTTAAGTACTGAAAGAATTTATTAGATTATTTTATTTTTATTAAGTAAATATATTTCTTTCTTAAAGATATATTAGAATATTTATTTTTATAAAGTCTAAATATATATTTATTGAGATATCTGCAAATATATACAAAGTTTTCTGTGAAAAATAAAATATATTTTTTTGTAAATTTAATTAAATGCATTTTATTGAAAAAAGTTTCAAATTTTGTAAAGATTTCAATATTAATTTGTTACTTATAGAAGAGTATATTTATCTAGAAAAATATATTATAATAACCTAGTAAAATTTTCAGAAATTTATTAAATAATTTGGTAAAATCATCAATTTTTTACTTATTTTCAAATTTTTTTTTGCTATTTAAATAAAATTTACTAAAATTTTATTATACTAATTAATTTTATTATTCTAAGTAAACTTATTCATAGGTATTTAAAAATACACAGTTAAAGTTTTATTTCATTTAAATAATTTTTTATAAAATTATAATCAATTAATTAATTCTTATTACTTATGGTGAGCACTATAGGTATTTATATGAAATAATTTTAAAAAAATTATTTTCAATAAGTAATTTTAAAATTTTTTTTGAAAATATTTTAGTAAAATATATTTTAAGATATAAATATATTTGTATAAAAAATTTTTATCACATATTTATTTAATAAATACCAGTTAAAAAAGACTTTATTTTAACAATTTCATAAGAAATCATAATAAAATCCTATTTTGACTATTATTTCTCATGAAAATTATTAAAATAAAGCCGTTTTTAACTGGTATTTATTAATAAATATGTAATAAAAATTTTTAAACTTACAATTATATTTATTTCTTAAAATATACTTTTAAAAAAATATTTTCAAAATTTGCTTATTAAAAATATTTTTTGAATAATTTCTTTTTCAAAATTATTTCATGCAGACGCCTGATCCATCACATTTGACACCAAATTTCGCAAAATTTATTAAGCTAACATACCTTGTGCTAAGGATATTCTAAAGTATTTATCTACAAAGTTTCATTTTTTGAAAGCTTCGTTTTTAAAATATAGGTGAAAACATTCACTGCCATAACTTTTGTCCTTGACTGTATAACAAAAAATATAATCTTTTAATAAAAAAGTAATTTCACTTAAACCACTGGTTTGAACCACCTACAATTTATTTACATTATGGTGTTTAATATTATGAGTTAAATTGTGTATTTAAAATTATAACAGTTTTTTTAAAAAATTCACAATATTGTTTAAACCACCTACAAACTGTCAAAGAATAGAACATCTAGTAGTTCTCTGTGCTGTCATAAAGGCTGTGATTGCGATTAGAGCCGAATCCAACTCATCTTCCAATTCCTTAATCTCGTCTGCATTCTAAATATCAAATAACGGTGTATCAGTCAGTAATAAAGAAAATCTGTGAGGTCGATTACATTGTATTAACCTGTTTTGCATTAATAATCCGAAGAAGAGTATGGCGAATTTGATGAAAACGTCCTTTGGATTTCTTGGATTTCTCTAAAAATGTATGAATTTTTTTCAATGAATTGATTAAATTTTCGGTATTTCGTTTGCCGAATGGGTTACTCGAATTATGACGAGAACGAGTTTCAAGCGTCTCCAGAGCTCCATCCAACTTAGCGCGCAACCTTCTGTATCTTAAGTCATTTTTTTCGGCCTGTATCACAACCTCTATAACTTCTTTTAATATTTGAATCACATATGACATTTGCAAATATGAAAATAAAAATTGTCTATAACCAGCAATTTCCGTTTGATTTTACTACAAAGACATGAAGATAATGAACACATTGCATTGTGTCATGACTTGTGCCACTAATACTAACATTATCTCCTACATGTACATGTATATGTACATGTAGTTTTGCTGCTCATTACATGTGTCCATACATGTACATGTAGTATGCTTTTTTTAAGCGTTTGTCAAAATTTTTGACTAATTGGCCGGCAATTAGAGCCACCAATTCCATTAGATAAAATTCATCAACACATGTATATAATTATATTTAAATTGAAAAATTAATTTTTTTGTCTATTTTGGCGTCTAGAAAATCATATAAAATCAAATGTTTCCTTTTGATATGTTTATTCATTGGAATCAATCCACCGCTTATATTTAAATGAGCAACTTCCAGGTACCACTCTTTTAATAATTTTTTTATATATAAAGAAAATTATAAATTAGAGTATTGGAAGCATCTCGGGAACCGTTATAACGTATCCATTATTATATTTAAAACAATTCGAACATTCGTTATGCATAAATTCAAAAATATAACATAATAATAACTAGAGAATACTCTATACAATTAACAAAAATATAAATTCATTCTAAACAATAATAGAATTCATAACAAAATAATAAAATCAAATATCAAAATAACAAAGGAAATACAATATCAAATTAATACAAAATAATAAAAAGCAATATCAAAATAACAAATCAAAATCAAATAATTAAAAGTGATGCATTAACTTTGCATTGTCAATGCATTAAAGCCTCAGACTATAATAAGCACAAAAAAAATAAAACGATCAATTTCGTTTTGGTACAAAGATATAAAGCTGAAGCGTTATTAGGTAAGAAGTTAAATAGTTTTATTTAGTTATTTTCTTTAAACCACAAATTTGCCTGTCTCTCTCTTCGAGAGATGTTATATATATATATGTATATATATAGTTTTCGTTATTACATAACTATCTAAATTACAATTCGTTGATTACAGATTTCTGGATCCTAAACACAAAATAGTAATTTTCACAAGAGAAAAGAATATTTATTTTATAAAATAGTAATGTAATGAAATTTAATGTAATAATTATATGTAAAAGAAATAGAGTGATGGCCAAAGATAATACATTAAGACTTTATAATTTTATTAATAAATATTTTTTATTTTTACATCAAATTAAAGTTCATAATTTATAGCTTAACATATATTTTTTTCAGATTTTTGGATTTTTCTGAAAAAATTTTTCTAATTAAATTTCATTTTTAATTAGAAAAATTTTTGCAATGATTTTGTAATTAGAAAAACTCTTTCAGAAAAAATATTTATTAATAAAATTATAAAGTTTAATATAGAGAAAAATTTCAATTTTTATTAATAAATTTGATCTTTAATGCTTTATTTTTAATCATTACTACAAATAAAAAACTATTATCACTTCACAAGAAAAAAAAATTAATTATAGTTATAGTCATACAATAAGAAATAATATAAAAAGTAAAAAATTTTGAAAGAAATTTTTAACAATAATTAATATTTTAAGAGCACAATAAGAAATTTTCTTTCTTTTGAAAGTAAAATTAATAATACAGTCCCTGGCAAAAGTAGTAATGCATAACATTTTCATCTATATTTTAATAATAAAGTATCCAAAACTCATGAAAGTTTGTAGATATATTTTTTAGAGTATTACAAACAAGATTCTCTAATAGCACAATGCATATTAACTTAATAAAATTTGTGAAATTTTGTGTCAAATGTGGCAGATTAGGTATCTATACAAAATAACTTTGAAAAAGAAATTATTTAAAAATATTTTTAATAAGTAATTTTGATAATAGTTTTGTAAAAATATATTTTAAGATATAAAGAATATATTTGTAAGTTTAAAAAAAATTTTTTATTGCATATTTATTTAATAAATACCAGTTAAAAAAAGGCTTTATTTTGATGAATTTTATAATAAATCATAAT